AAAAAAAAAAGTCCTTGTGATGTTACTTGCACATTGAGCCAATTCTCAATCACTCAGGGCCTATTGATGCAAACCCACAAGAGGTGGGTCCATTTCCCCTTCCTCTTCATAGCCTTTGCCTTCTGAGAGGCTCCCAGGTGTACCCCTCAAGGAGATGGGGAAAAGAAGGGTCATTTTGTTATCTGTAATGCTTTGTATTCTCTCTGTTGAAGGGGTTTAATTACAAAAATTGGGGAGAGATTAAAACAGAAAAAGAGAGACACTTGCAGAAAAGGAAGAACACAACAGGGAGAGAGAGATTGAAGGGCCGGTAACGTGGGGTTGGGGAACACCAAGAAACAAAGAGAGACAGACCTCAAAGCAGAGAAGAAGGATGTTTGAGAGATAGGGGACGCTGAGAAAGGAGGGTGATAGAGAACACAGAGAGAGGAAAGTCAGATGAAAGGACCACAGATACAGAAAGCAAAGGAACCATCAAGAAATGGAGTGAGGGAAAGCAGGCATGTACGCAGAGAAACATGATGAGAAAAACACATGCAGAGATCTCAGAATACACACAGAGACGTGGAGGGGGTGCAAGAGGAGAGACAAAGAGAAAACTAACATGGAGATAGAGGCAAAGATCCAGTGATAGAAATCCTTTCAGCCTTATGATTAATCAATGCCAAGAAGGTGTGATTGTTTAAAAGAATCATGGGTTAAGTTTATTTTTTTTAATGTTTTTATTTAAAAGAAAAAAAAAAGTGTGACAGACAACCAGGGGTAAATGGAAGGGGAAGCATCTGCTGTAGATAGAAGAGTCACTGTCACAGTCACCATTGAAATTACCTCTTCAGATTACAGGGAAATCATGATTACACATTCAGTGAATACCCATTGATGCTATGAGCTGAAATATTATGGTAACATTAACAGGATGAGTTATAAGTTGCTTGAAAATAAATGTGCTAAAAGGAGTCATTTCCCTTTGTTTGTGAAAATAGCTTTAAACTTGAATGTGAATATTTCCTTCTGTTGCTCTGTTAGCTGGGAAACTTCATTTTGTAGCTGCTGGTACAATGGCCGCCCAAGGAAGCAGCCCATGGTGCACCATGGGGGGGCTGTTAGGAGTGGGACCCAGTGGGTGTTCATCAGGGCGCTGCTGCTGGCTGGTGCCTAAACCATGTCAATCTCATGGTTTTTAGCGGAAACAATCGCACAGCTGCCCCCATCACCCTGCCTATAGAAGAAGTCCTGCAGACCCTACAGGACTTGATCGCCTACTTCCAGCCCCCGGAGGAGGGGATGCGACATGAAGACAAGCAGAACAAGCTCCGCTCACTCAAAAACAGACAAAATCTTTTCAAGGAAGAGGTAAGTCAAAAAATGAAAAGTTGAAATTCACTTTGTGTCCAGAGCTAAAATATCCCTATGACTGCAACTTAGCTTTGTCTTTCTGCATGCACGTGTTTATGAGAGAGCCAGAGGACAAGAGAGATTTGGAAGCTGGGAAATTGGAAGCCAACCTTCCCTGTCCGCCAAACCTGGTTACATTAGCAATGGCTGGCACGTTCAAACCAGATTACGTTTTAAAGCTTCAGTGCCACATGTGTATCGAAAATACATTTTCAGTAAATATCAGCTGTGAGAGCATGACATTGGCTGTGATTCCCAAGTTTTGGGAAATGTTAGAATTACCTGGGAAACCTGTTTGAAAAATACAGATGCCTGGATTCTACCACATTTAGAATACCTGAGAAGCTGGTTTAAAAGACACAGAATATGTTAAGTCTTAGGTCAGAATTCAGCATCTGAGTCACTGGGAGTGGGACCTGGCCATGAGGAAAATGCCAGCTGGGGCTTAAGAGACCCAGGGCCTCATTCTGGCTTCATCTCCGGCTGTGTATGACCACAGACAAGTCACAAGCCTTTTCCAAAGTCGGAGACGTGAAGATTTAGTGCCAACAGGCTATGGTTGTACTTCTGGACCTGCCATACGTGGGCACAGGGCTTGTCGCTTGGGCATTTCCAAAGTTAGTGGTATGGGATGTAAACCATCCCAGCTCAGTCTTCTGATCTAACCAGACTTTGGTCCCGGGGACATTCTCAATGCCTTAAAGGCTACTGAAATTCCATTTACCATCTCCCTCCTATGTGCTAAGAACAGCTAGCACAGATTTTTACTGGGTGGCGTAGTATTTCAAATTAGCTAGAAAAGTGGTGATAGTGTTATTGTCTCTAAATCCCACCTTTTTTGGGGGGTGGGGAGGTAGGAAGCAAGCATGGTTGTTTTGTGCATCTGAATGGAACTTGAACTTACTTGATATTTAAGAGAGAAATAGGTACTATATCTAGAGCTGTTTCTGGGTGAGTCAGAACCACTTCACACCAGACCAAAAGCAGGTTTTTGTGAAACTCATTCACCCTCCCTCTTCCTAAGTATGTCCTTGGATTGAGTTAAGCACGTGGGGGCAACCTGTCAGAAGAGGCTGCTGACTCACTCTCCAAATGGATGCTATTTAGGTCTCTCAGGCATAAAAATGCATATTTTGTTTTTAGGAGGGAAAAAAACAAAACCCAACTGGCATCATGAAGGTTTATTTGCATATTGGTATTATCAGCTTTAAAAGGTGAATGATACAGGAAGGGAAAGAGCAAAAGGGATTCTGCTTTCTTAATCAGTAATGTTTATATTTTCCTCCACTCTCCTTCTCAGGGAATGTTGGCTCTTGTCTTAAATTGCATTGACCGCTTAAATATCTACAATAGCGTAGCACACTTTGCAGGGATTGCAAGAGAAGAGAGTGGCATGGCCTGGAAAGAAATTCTGAACCTCCTCTACAAATTGCTGGGTAAGTACACATACAGTGCCTTCTCCCTGGGATGATTTCCATGTGAAATCCCAAGATTGTCTTTAAGTTGCCATTAACCCTGTGATATTTGGACTGCCTCATTCCTTAGAAGCCTTTTGTTAGCCATTCAGTTTTAACCCAGCTGTTCATTCTGTTAACTAGTAGCAGCCAGTAGAAGCAGATGGTAATCAGTTTCACTGCAACTACCTGGGAAACTCTTGACAGTCACCTACGCTCCGTCAACCTCTATTCCTTACCTTTCATGAGGAAACAAGACTAGAGCACATTTACGATGTCTTCCAGTTTTAAACTTCTGCAAAGATATCACCTGCACTTTAAGAATTGTTATTCTCTTAAATCTGTGCCCTCTCACTTGTCCACTTGTTAGTCATGATTCCCACTGCTTTGGCCTGTTATTTATTTCATTTTGGTGAAAAGAAAAAGGTGGGAAGTAAGAATATTCCAGCAACAAGCTTATCTTCTCACAGTATGGAGTGTGTAGTGATGTTCTGGTGCCTGCTACAACAGGTTCCATCCAGAAGGCCTAGGCCACCTGCCTATGGGTGGGAGGCAGAGAGAAGGCAGTATGAGCCTATGCAAGAAGGTGGCCGCCAGGAGTTGCCCAGACACTGTGATAAGCTAGTACTTCAGGGCTTTGCTCTGTGTATGTCCCACTGAGAGGAAATCTATCATAGAAAGTTCACTAGGCCAGAAGGGAGCCCAGAGAAATCAGTCTGGACCTATTCCCCAGCTTAGGGTTCAAGCTGATTGGATTACCACAGTACTGATTGATTGTCACTTTATGACCGTGTAAAGTGTCTTCAAACTCTAGTGTTTTGTATTGACCCAGTAAGCATGATTTTAACAATAATACCTAACAATTATTAATCTTTGTGTGAGTGGTGAAATATCTCTTTTGAACCCCAGAACAACACTTTAAGTGTTCATTACTATTATTGTCATTTCGCTGATGAAGAAACCGATGTATGTGATGCTCATAACCCAAGGTTACACATCTAGTAACTGATGGAGCTATGGCTTGAGACTCAGCAGTGTAACTCCAGGACTCTTGTGCTTAACTTCCTTGTTGCAACTGACCTGAAAAGGAGGTTAGGAGCTCAGACTTGAATTGTGTCCTCTACTGACTGAAGATACAAAGCTGAGGCTCTGGAGGAGGCCTTTCTTTATCCTAAATTTGCCATGTAGCAGCCTCAGTGAAATTCCAATTCAAACCTATCATGTGAAGGGCAAGCTACTTGGGGGCTAATCAGTTTACATGGACTTCTTCCAGATTTGCATCTACTCTTTTTTTGTCCTGTGGAGAGAAGGTTATTTGGTGTAGATTGGTAAAACTCAATTGACAGCAAATTCTCTCCCTTTCTTTGCAATATCGTCTGCCAGTGGCTTTCAAGTAGGAACAGGCATCAGGATTCGCGGGTGGGCTGGTTACAATACAGATGCCGAGGCCCACCCCCAGAGTTTCTAAATCAGTAAAGCTGGATGAGGCCTGAGAATTTGCATTTTTAACAAATTCTTAGGTGATGCTGATCCAGGGACCATGCCTCAAGAACCACTGTCAAATAGGGATATATTTTAGATATTTTATAGTTACATGCTGCTATTATGCATCCATTAGTGTATAGCCGACCTTTCCAGCTGTGTTCACTGGGATGCCTTCCTTTAGCACTGAAGAAGAATAAACCTGTAGCTAAATTTAAGAAAACATTGCAAGCAGTTGAGTTCTTAAGTCAGTAACCAAGCCAGTATTAAATTCTTGCTTATCACAATGAAGTAATTTCATTACTTTATGCATTTATTGTCTCCATTGCCTGCTTGATGCAGGCAGGGAATCTCCCTCCCTTCCCCATTGCTGTAGTCTGAACAACTGGGCAGGTGTTTGGTACATAGCAGGCTCTCTGGAAATACTTGTAAAGTGAGCCAATACTAGATTTTTATTTTTCTAAGTATAGAAAGAGGTTGGGTGTGGTGGTTCACGCCTGTGATTCCAACAGTTTGGGAGGCTGAGGTGAGGAGGATCAATTGAGGCCAAGAGTTCAGAGACCAACCTGGTCAACATGGTGAAGCCCCATCTCTACTAAAAATACAAAAATTAGCTGGGTGTGGTGGCACACGCCTGTAATCCCAGCTACTTGGGAGGCTGAGGCAGGAGAATCACTTGAACCCAGGAGGTGGAGGTTGCAGTGAGCTGAGACTGCACCACTGCACTCCAGCCTGGGCAACAAGAGTGAAAACTACATCTCAAAAAAAAAAAACAAAAAAAAATTTTAAAAATTAGCTGGACATGGTGGTGCATGCCTATAGTCTTAGCTACTCTGGAGGCTGAGGCAAGAAGATCACTTAAGCTCAGGAGTTCATGGCTGCAATGAGCCACTGTACTCCAGCCTGGGTGACCGACTGAGACTGTCTCTAAAAAAAAAAAGAAAAAAAGAAAAAAGAAACAGAATTGTGTCAGAGGGCTAGGTAGAGTAAGACTGGCATTCAGTTCCTTTTAGTTGCTAAGCGAAGTGTTCAACAGCTTTCCAAGTTCTCATGCCCATCATTATATCCTTTAACCTCTGTGATCAAACATCTCCTTGTTTGCAGCTGCTCTCATTCGTGGAAACAGAAACAATTGCGCTCAATTCTCCAATAACCTTGATTGGCTCATCAGTAAATTGGACAGACTAGAATCTTCCTCAGGTGAGAGTTGACAGGAAACTATAACTAGAAAAGATGAAGGGTTTTTTTTTTCTTTCTGTAAAAAAGAAAACAAAGTTGAATCTTTTCCAATGGATTGTAAACAATCCTCAAATCATTACTTCAAAATTAAGAAGAAATAGTCTTCAAGCTTCCTGGCACTTGTACAACTTTATTTAACACTCTAACCCAGACTTCAACAGTCCGTCCTTTTTAAATTTTTTACTCTGTGCCTTCATTGTTATTCCATGCCTTCATTTTAGTCCTTGGGTCCATTAATCACCCCCCTGCAACCCCACCTACCCAGTGATCCTTGTCTCCTTCTAACTCCTATTATATTCTTATTCTCTGGGTTTTTAAACCCTTTTCAGTATTGTCCAAACTATTTCTTATAGTTCTAAAAGTGGGAGTGAAGAGTGACAGGGATGAGAGGAAACATGATCCCCACTCACCCCTCTCTCCTGGCTCACCCTTCACATCATATCTATAGTCCTCCCTCATGACTTACGGAGAATCTGAGCCGAGAGTGTGGTCGTCATTGGGAAGTGACCATGCTGCAGGGCTTAGCAGTTTGCTTCCTCCGAGATGAGCAAACATGGCAGTTGTAGGCCCCTCATGGGGAAGCTGAAGCTGGAGGGTTTTGATGCTTTTCTCATAGTCTAGAAATGACAGGTGTTTTAACAGACCGGCCAAGAGAGGTTTCCCCAAGGATCATCCACCTACACACATCTTCCTAAGCCTCTCTTTTCTTCAGTGCCTCAGTCTCTTGGGCTAGATTACATTTCAGGCTAATTTATGAAAACATTGAGTAAAAAACAGAATCAAAAGGAATTTTCTTAATAAAACTGATTAAGCTATTAGCCAACTACTTCCCTTGAATTTCCATCATGATGTTACCATGTATGTGCCAGGCTGTAGAGGCACTCGTTTTTCTTAAGCCTTCACTTACATAACTTATCCAGTGTACCAAAAAAGGGGGGGAAGCCAAATCGACTTTATTGTGTGAGCTTACGATTTGTTTGATACATGAGTAGACCTAAAATAAAAATAATTTCCAAGGTAGTTCCTAGAAAAATTCTTATTTGGGAGAAACTCAGAATATTTTCCAAATTCCTTGAATGACCTTTAGAATTTATAGTAAACTGGACATCTTCTTTTATATATTTTTTTAAATGAAGTATTATTTAGTTTGATCAAATGAAAATTTTTATTTTGTAGCTGCTTCTCTATATTTTAACATACAAAGATCATGTATTTGTCTAGGAAGCAGGAGATAGGGTTTGTGCTGAATTAAAA